CTGATAAGTCAGAATGACACAGTCTTCACTAAGAACCTGATTATAATAAAGATATTAACACTGTCATTTATGAATTCTAATTTATAAGATAATGAGTTTCTACTGAGATGAATAGTCTGTGATATATACAAGAAAAGAAGAAATTATGTTCTTATTAAAGTTAAAAAATAAGAAAATAAACAGGACTATGAATACAATTTGAAGATTAATAAAGAAAAAATAAAGAAAACTCAAATTCATACTCTTAATACTTATAACACTTAACTTTCTCACAACTATCAATTTCTTTCTTCAAAGAAGCAGAGAGTATTATACTCACAGTACAGATAATTATTATATTTAATGTAAAGACTGCTAGAAATGCACAGACTTCAGAAGAGTCAGATATTAGAGTGTACACAGTTACAGTAGAGTCTTAAAGACTGATTATCTGTATATGTGATCAGATATCTCTTATAAAGCTGTGTTCACTTTCTCAGTTATGCTGAAGTATTCAGCTCAGAAATAATTGAAATGTGAAGAGAGAGCTCATCTATTCAGATTAACTTCTATCACAAATTCATGATATTCACATTGTCTTAATTATCTGAATTTTATGAATACTCAGAGACTTATCTCTTATTGATAATGAGATTGTGAAAATGTACTGTGATGTAAGAATTATTGATAGAGAACCTAGACATATTTACATATATCTGATCAGTGATTGTACAGGCAGAAAGAGAGTGATTGTAGGCCTGCAGAATCACAGAAAACACTGATAACACAGAGAGCTTTGTAAGAACTGTCAGCTAGAATCTGTAAGAAATTACTTATAAGAAGACTTACAGTAAAGAAGAGAACTGCACTGCTTAAAGTTAGAGACTGATCTGAAAGAGACAGGAAATTGACTGCTGATCTGAAGATCAGATGCAGTGACAGAGCTGAGAGAGATGAAGATATGATTATAAACAGCAGTATCTCTGCTTCATCAGCTGATAAAAAGTGATTAGAGAAGTTACAGAGATATCTATAAGAAACTCAGCAGCAGTCAGATATTATTACAAAGATATTGAAATTGAAAAATTTTTATTCTTAAGAAGTTCTTGAATCAATATACAGATATTGTTAGAAATACTCTCTCTCTATTATCTGAGTGAAAATACTTTGCAGATAAATAGAAATACTCATAGTTTATAAGAATAAGAGCTGTTATAGAAAAAGAGAAAAGAAGATAAAATTCTGTAGATAGATCTGAGATATTTATACTACTCTAGAGAGATTTACTTATACTATGAGTAATTCTGTGAAACAGTCAGATTACTCTAGTAAATAAGAGTAATTATGAATTATAGATCTGAATCTTTCTATATAATTACAAAGAGTAATTACAGACTGTGAATATCTTGATTCTACAATTCTACAGAGTTAATAAAAGAATGAAAAATTTCTCACAATTCTACAGTATCAAAGAACAATGATTTATAAGAATAAGTGAAAGATTAACTTATAAATATTTCTCTTTAATAAGAGTAATCTCACAGAAAGTAATTCATCTGTGAGATGAATCTGTGTGATAATCTTACAAGAATCTCATAGAAATAATTGAGAGTTAACTGAAACTCTTCTATATAGAAGATGTAAGATGAATCTGTATAATAGTTAGAGAAGAATCTGTAGATTATAAAGAATCTTATAAAATAAGAAACTGAGTGACAGACTCTTTTCTCTTCATAGTAATAAGAGATTTTTTCTCACTAAGATTTTTTATAGATATAAAGAATTTTTAGTAAGTATTACTGCAGTGCTGAACTGATTCTATGAAGTCACTCAGTGAAAGACTTTATAAATAAAGTCTTAGAGAGAGAGAAATATGTAAGAAATCTCACTTCTCACACATTCTTTATCTCTATTTCTATCTCTTATATAATTAATAGAGCTAGTGACTCTTGACTACATATAACTATATAGACTGGAGTTTGTGAATACTATTCATAACTCAGCTTAAGTACTATGATACATTTGACTTCTACATTTTATCTTTCTACCGCGAATACTTCTAGTAGTTAACAGTACATATCACATCAAGCTGCAAACATCTGAATAATTGCCTGTGAGCACTTATTCTTACAAATTTACACTGAATTGATTATTAATTGATTTTCAATCAATTATTAATTACTTAAATATATAGATTGAATTTATTTTTATTACTATAATTAATTAATAATCAATTTAAAATTAATTCAAAATCAATTTAAAATCAATTTAAAATCAATTATTAAATATTTTTATCTTAATATATTTTAAAATTCTGTAAAACATCTCTTTATATTCTATATGAATTTATCTATTTATTTAATTGATTATAAATCAGTTATACATGCTTTTTAATTGATTGATAAGCTGAATGAATAAATAAATAAGTGAATTGAAAGATTGAAAGTTAATTATCAACTGATTATTAACCGTGTCATGCTTACTTACTCTCTGTAGTGAGTGTGTCACAGTGTATAGAAAATCACACTGTAAAGAAAATATTTTCAATATCTTCATTCTTCATCTTCAAATAATCATTATTAATTATAATCATGTCTAAATCTTGTAATTACACTGAGAAGTAGTTGTAAAGAGCTGTTAACACATACAAAAGTAATTTAAAATTAAAAATCATATCTCTGTTATAAGAATTCAAAGTCTTATATACTATCTTATATGAAAGAATCAATGAGAAGAAATCAAGAACTATGAGAATTTCACTGAATTAAGCATTGAATAACAGTTAGAAAGAGATAATTAAGATATGAATTCATCAGTTGAATATTAATTTTTACTCATTCATTATCAAGTATATTAAAGCTGCTGTAAACTGTATGTTGAGACAGTATTATACAGATTCAGAGACTGCATCTCTTACAGTAAGCAAGATGTAAATATATTAATTCATTAAATGCCTGCCAGATTACAAACAAGTCAAGCAAAAACCCATGAATTTAAAATGATGCCCCGAATCTCAATATATATGATAATGATAATGATGTATATAATCACTTTACTCTGTCATCTGCAGTTAACCTTCTCAGAGATGATTGCAAAACTACATCATTAAATCAATACAGCAGTCAAGATCTTAGAAGATGTGAAGAATACTCTTACATCTGATTTGACAAGGCAGTTGAACAAGATCTTCAAGAATAGCATGATTCAGGCAGAATTGAATGCATATTATGAGAGTGAACTTGCAGATCATTATTAAGTAAATAGACATTAGATTATCAAATTCTCTCACAGACAGGTGCAAGTAGATGAAGTTCTCACTATTAAGAATATCAATTGTAAGATTGCAATCTGTAGAGCAGATGAGATGAAAAAGATATTTAATAAGACTCTTCAATTGATTGAAATCAAATCTATAAAATCTACAGTTACTCAATCATAATAAGATAATTCTATAAAATCTCAACTTACAGTGAATTCTACACCTTCTAATGAGTATATAGATAATCTTTATGTTATAGATAGATGTGATGATGATTATTAATTAATTTTTGAAGATTACTATATTTAAAATATTTTCTTTACAGTGTGGTTTTCCGTACGCTGTGGCGCACTCACTACAGAGAGTGAGTAAGCATGGCACGGTTACTGTATTGTGTAGGCTACTGGGGCAAAAGAGCTCAATCACCACCAGCGCCTGCTGGTAGAAGGGCCGACCAACCATGGGACCCTCAACACCCCCCCTCAGACCAGCTATCACAGAGTACAATACTTCCTCTCAGTGACTCTCTTCAGTGGCCTCCTCACAATGGCTTCTTTTAATAATGGACTCAGTCAGTTCTAGGGCTCACGGGACTTCTAGGGCACACTTCTGGAATGTCTCTTGACACTGTTAAAATGTCCAAGGATATTTGTTAGGAATTTTTAAGTCCATTCTGGGATTGAACCCATGCATGTTGATCACAGCAGGGCTCACACTCAACAGTCTCATAATCTGTAGGCTACTGGGGCAAAAGAGCTCAATCACCACCAGCGCCTGCTGGTAGAAGGGCCGACCAACCGCGGGACCCCCAACATATTTTGTGC